ACACTGGATCCAGAGTCTTAGAGATAAATAAAATGATAGGAACAGACTTAGAATACAGCAATGAAACAAAATGACTAAAAAAGTCAGGCACCTGTGGTTCATGCCTATAATCCTAGCAGAGAGCAGGAGGATCTTGGTTTGAGACGAGTCCAGGCAAATAGTTTGAGAGACTATCTCGAAAATACCCAACACAAAAAAGGACTGGCAGAGTAGCTGAAGTAGTAGAGTACCTGCTTAGCAAGCGTGGGGTTCTGAGTTCAAATCCTAGTTACTCCTCCCTTCCCCAAGAGAAGAACAAAAGTGGGAGAAACAGAATCTTTATATAGAAACAACAACAAAGAAAAAGGTTAAAGAAATTCAGTGTAGAGAAGTGACCTTTGGAAATTAATGTCATAGGGATCTTCAAATATATTTAAAAGATAATGTTAAAAGAAGACCTGAAGTTCTTTTATTGGAGTAAAACAAAACATGGCTCAGATTTTAAAGGGGTAATAAGAACGGGGCCTGCTGAAGGACTTTCAGAGTAGAAATATTAGGATAATGTGACAAAAGGCAGAGGAAAATGCCACAGCTTCTCCCATCCTTATGTGTATATATTGTGACAATACTGCCTGTAGCACACAGTTTTTGCAAAATTACTTATGAAACAACCGCTGGCTTTTAAGTTTTAAGATTTTTTTTTTTCAAAGATGCTAAAACCTGTTTTAAAGAGGATGGGGGGATTTAGGCCAGGAAGGAATGGTAAAGACTCCAGCCTGGGATTTGGATAGAAAATAGGACCAACCCAGAGAGAGACAGAGTCAGCCTTTGATGTCTTGACGATCAAGGACCATGGCTTAAGGACCAGACTCTTAAATCACGTGGCATTTACTGCCCCAGATAAAAAACACTTTTCTGGATCAGTGTGTGTACTTCAAAATGGCTAGGTTCCAAAATCAGTCTTAACTTTCCAAGGGCAACATTTGGAAAGTTTCCTGCAAGAACAGAGCAGAGCCAGTTTCTAGAAGGGGCAGCTTAATGATTTTCTATTCTTCTACCCCCAAATCATTAAATAGTGCTCCTTTCCCAGAGTCCAAGTTCATACTGAGGGCAAAGAAAATTAAGCCAAGACACTGAATCTGTGGCTAAGATTAGAGAGTTGCCAAGGGCCTAATTTTAGGTCCTCACTGCCCCAGCTGACATCCTGCACTGCCGGCTTGGCCATGAAGACCACAAGTGTGGCTCTGAGCTGGTGGCGCAGTGGGGAGAGCGGTTCCCTGGCCATCTGCAAAAGCAATTAGCTTGCTGCTGGGTGTGTTTGGAGAGGGACTACCAATAATTTCTCCTTCAACAAATGTTTCTTCAGGTGTTCAAGAGTCAAGGAGGGAAAATGTGAGAGCTTGGCCGACATTCCCATGTGCTTGCCATTCTCACATTCACGCTTTCCACTTAAGAGTGATCTCCAAAAATGAACTAATGCTGGAATTCCTGGTTTTTCATGGCAAATAACCCCCTGATAAATTTCCTTTGGCTCCAAGCTTACTGTTACAACTCAGAGAAAATGTTGTTCAGGACTTAGCTTGATGGAAATTGACATAGATGGACAGGAGCAATTCTTTCATTTTGTGGGGAATTTCTGCACCATGCTTCCACTGGGATTTAGGCTGTCCTTTGCTCTCCATTTACTTCCTTCTCACAGGTTTCATGCTTTAATTGTCTTCTTCAGAGGGCAGACAATAAGAGCTAGCATCTTCCAGATCAAAGGGGAAACAGAATATATTTTAAAGTGACAACTCTGTTATTCTGCTACCAGAATAAAACCAGAATAATAAGCTGATATAAGCTCCTAAACGATTCCATGCTAAAATGCTACCAGAGAGCAAAATTTCTTGCCTAATTATGGCAGGGAAACTCTCCTTACACATCACTCACAAGAGCATGTCTTATTTTTGCACAATTCTCAAGCCTGGGGCAGCCTACCCTCAGGGATGGGATTTGATGTCCCTGCAGGTTGGGAGCTGGGTTTACCCACTGGTGTTCTCTGTCTGCAAAGGAGGCTCTTAACAAAGGCTCTTTGCCAGGGGCAATGAAAAAGCAAGCTGGCAGTGCCAGGCTGAGGGAAAGCAGTCCTCAGCAGGTAATGTGCCCTTGGCAAGGGCCACTGTAGTGAAGGTGCATAGAAGGACCCAACAGCTTTTCTCTCTTCCTCTATTTTTCTTTCCAGTTTTCCTGGTAGCTTTGCTTTTCCTGTCTGCTTGTTCCATGTCTTAATGTCGACCTGTCTCTATGTGTATTTCTATACCCTCCCCAAGCATGCATGCACAAACACAAGCACATGCGTTCACACACTCACCACACACACATACACAAGCAGGCTCACTCCCCTTCCTCTGTCTCTTGGCGCTGGCCCTTTCATCTTCTCCCTCAGGGATTCGAGATGTCCCTGCAGGAAGTGCTTGTCCGCAGAGGCAGCAGCAGCAGAGCCCTGTGGCTTTGACAAACCTCATTTAATTGGGAGGAAGCCAGGAGAATTTGAAAGAACTGAAACATCCATGAAACTCCTTTTATCAGGCATAATTTAAACTCTGCATGGAAAAACCCCTATATGTATAAAGAAAAGTCAACTTCCCTCCTGCTGTGAGCACTCCTCATCTCCCCCAAGCGCAGGCAGGCTCCTGCAAGATTCCATCTTTTCATTTTTCTAAAAGTGTCAAAGTAGATTTGGGCTCTGTGGCGGGGTGAACAGAGAAGGAATACAGATTGTTCTGTCTCTCTCACACATGTACATACAGATATACACACACAGAGGCATGGGTACCCACACGCATGCGCACACATGCACATGTGCACACACACAGCCATAGGCGCACACGCACACACACATACAGGTATAGGCACACACAGGCATAGGCACACACACACACAGCCATAGGCACACACACACACACACATGCACACACACACACAGGTGTAGGCACACACACACGCACAGACACAGGCATAGGCACACATGCACACACACACACAGGCATAGGCGCACATGCACACACACACACAGGTGTAGGCACACACACACATACAGACACAGGCATAGGCACACACACAGGCATAGGCATACACACACACACAGACCCCTCTAGATGTACATGAACCAGAGTCCCTTTATTGGTGGCTTTACTTCAGGTCATCCAGAAAGAATCAAATCCCAAGTTCCTAATAACACATCAGTTTGGACAGTGATTGCTTCATCCTAATTGCCCTTCATCAGGCAAAAGCTGGTGCTCAGAAAACTTTGAAGATCCTTGGCAGTTCTCAGCGTATGGGATAATAGACCCTGGAGGGGGGCCATTGGGGTAGTGTGTGTGTGTGTGTGTGTGTGTGTGTGTATGTGTGTGTACTCCCAAGCATGTGTACTTTCCTGCTGTGGTAGAGTTAGAAATCCCAAATCTCAAAGAAGAAAGCTGAGAAGGAAGGATCTAGGGGCTCAGATTGGGAAGAGGGGACTGGGATGGAAGAGAAGGAGGGGGTGGGGCTGAAGAAGGGCAGAAGTGCCAAGAAGAGTGAGAATTGTAGGTCTGCTGAAGAAAAGTCTTTCATTCCACCCATCCCTCCCCTCCTTCCACATTTCGCTGCAGATTCACCTCCAGTCTAATCCACCTCACTTGAATTACTCTTGTTTCTCCAAAGAATTGCCTTTAGCAATGCAGCCTCTGAACATCTGCAGTTGATTACACACAGATCTTAGCTGTTTAGATATGATTTGTGCTAATATGTGTACGAGGGCGCCCTGTTTCCTCTTCTTCACCCTCTTTTCCTCCCACTCCTTAAGATCTTTGAGGCCAAGTACAAGTCTCTTGTTTTCCTCAACTTTTTATAGCACTTCATATGTTCTTGACACTTAATGGCAACTTAATAAATTCTAATGACTGATTCTTTTTACAGAGTTAAGTAAGATATTAACCTCAGCTGTATGATTGTGGTTATTTTTGGAGATCTTAAATTACTCACTTTAAATAATAAAATTCCTCAGCAAGTCCCAAACTAAGAGTTTTGGGCTATAGCAGGACAATGTCCTAGATATATATGGTGGAGCTGCGTTTGCACACCCTAGTAACTTGGCCAGGCTGTGTTTATGCCTTTCACTCCATGGCGTCCCAGTGCACCCTGCCCTCATTTCTCCCTCACTCCCATCCCAGTCCCTCTTCCCAGCCTGAACCCCTAAACCCCTCACTGCTTAACTTTCTTTTCTCTGGCTTAGGCCTTCTAAAAAACTGTTTTCAGTTGAATGGTGGACATTTTCAAAGAAACCCCACGTAAGCAGAGTCTCCCCGAAACAGCCCAGGCCTTGACTGTCCTGCCCACGTCCTCCCCACAGCCCTTCCTGGTCACCAGGAGATCTCCAGCCACATGACCCCACAGTCTATTCCAGCTTTGAAGGATGACTTCAGGCCCAGCAACAAAGGATGATTTCAGGGTAACGCGTTTCCAGTGGGCAGCCAGCCTGCAAGATGCTTCCTTCTCCCAGTGCCCCACCTCAGCACTTCCTCCTGCAGCATCGCATTACCAATCAAGAAAGGCCCAGCTCTGCTCCCTGACAGATCCATGTCACCGATCAGCTTACGCTCATGGAAAGAGAGAAGGGGCTTGTTAGAAACTTTGGTTTTGCTTCTCCTGGCAGATGCTAGCTAAAGCAAACAGCTCAGAGGCAACTTTCATCTCAGCCAATTCCTAAGTGTAAGCGTATGTATATGAAATGTATAGATAGATCATCACAGTGAGGTCCTTGCCATCCATCCTCACCAGTGCCTTACACTTTCAGAGACTTTCATGCAAAACTCAGGCAAGATTGTGTCCATCTTGCTTCTCTTGGGCAAATTAATCTCTGACTTTATTTCTAGGTGCAAATTCTATGATTCTCCAGTGTTGAGAGAAAACATTTGAGACACTGAGACTTAACATATATGTACATGCACACACACAAGTACACCCACACACACACTCACAGATACTTGCTCACTGACCGTCAGGAAGGTGGTACAGTTGGGAAGGCAGGGCACTGAAATAACCATGAACCAGTGCTTCCTGGGCAGAGACACGGTCCCTAGGGAAACCTTTCAGCATTTGGGAGGCCAGGTCTTCAGCTTCAGGAACCCCGCCCAGCCTGGAAAAGTAGGAGAGAAAAATAAGAGTTTCCTCAGAGGCTTCCATTCTGAAAAATAATGAGGGAAAACTACACACTAAAGAAAAAGAGGTGGCTAGGCTTAGAATAATATTTCCAGTGGAATTTTCCTGAGATGACTAAAACTGATGGCAAGTAGAAAAATAGCCCCCATGCTGAAACTCTTACGTGTCTGTTACTAAGATGAAGGGAGAAAAATCTCATCATTCTTTCATTCAATTCCCTACCCTTCACTATGTCTCTGGGTGCCATGTGCACATAAAGGACAGAGAATTGTAATTATAGAAGCAGAAATATATAATTAAGGATTCTCTTTAAAGGGACACAGAAGCTTCAACCAAACAAAAAAGCCTGAGTGACAGTATGTTCTAGGTTCTAAATTCCAAAAACAGCAAGCATGGAGTCCTAGAGAGAAGAGTGGGAGGGAGAGAGGTGATTCGGGAAGGTGAGTGAAGCACAGGTAGAAATGCTCCCAGGTTATTAGCTAAGAAGCTCTTTTGTTTTCCCCCTGAGATGGAGGGGAGCGAGAGAGATAATAGAGCACCCAAATCCCAAGAAGGGCTAGTCCTCAAGTTGACCTTACATTCGATTATACATTTGGAGATGAGCACATGTATTGAGCAACTATTGTGTGCTAGTCGTTGGTTGTCTTCTGGCAGCTTAGTCTAGCAGAGGAGTCGACAGTCATCAAATTATCACAGATAGAACTGTGAAGAAAAGGCTCCCATTTGGTCTGAATGTACGTGTCTTTCTAAAATTCATATGCTTATCTCCAAGGAGATGGTATTTGAAGATGGGCCTTTGGGAGGTAACTAGGTAATGAGGAAGGAGCCTTTCATCATGAAGGAGATTAGTACCTTCATAAAAGGGGCTGGAGGGAGCCCTTTGACCCCTTCCACAAGTGAGAACCATGAAGGCACATATGCAAATCTGCTGGTGCCTGTGATCTTAGACTTCCCAGCCTCCAGAACTGTGAGCAAATTTCTGTGGATTCTAAATGATCTAGTTTAAAGTATTTTGTTATAGTGGCCTGACCAAGATAGCTCTGATATCTGACCTAGAATGGGAGTTGGTGATCAAGGAAGGCTTTCTTAAGGTGGTGACATTTGAGCTAAGAGGTAAAGAACTGGGGGCAGGCAAGGAGTAGCCACTGCTAGCAGAAAACTGTGGTGCTCATACAGGCTCTGGAGTAGGAGGGAGTGGGTTTAAGGAGTCCAGGGGCTTCGGATGTAGCTTAGAGGTAGAGTGTGTGCTTAGCATGTGTGAGGCCCTGGCTTCAATCCCTAACACCAAAAAAAGAAGAAGAAAAGGGGGAGGGGAAAAGGGAGGGGGAGGGGAGGAGGAGGAGGGAAGAAAGGGAGAGAGAGAGAATATCAAAGCCTATGATTGGTTTGGCCCCAAAGACAGGAGAGGGACCTGCTATGAAGCCAGGGAGAATGGTAGGGGCCAATCCTACCAGCCTCATGTGTCTTCATGTTAACCTTTTAATTACAATCTTGAAAGTCTTTGCCAATTTAATGCCAATTATTTAAGTACACCCATCTTTACAACCTACAAATAAGTTTGCAAGTAGAAAGCCACAAGAGGGGAAAACTGCAGATTCTGAAAGACAATGAAACACAGGACTATTGCCTAACATTCAGAATTATGTTGCATGGCCATGAACTAATCAAGCAAAAAATAGAAGGGTTTGGGCTAGTGAAATGGTTGAAGCAGTAAGAGCACCTACCCAGCAAGCATGAGGCCCTGAGTTCAAATCCCACTGCTGCCAAAAAATAAGAAAGAAAGGAAGGAAGGAAGGAAGAGAAAGAAAGAAAGAAAGAAAGAAAGAAGGAAGAAATAGACAGGGCTTGCTTAATGTCAAATTCATGTAAGAAGGAGCAGATACAAAAATTGTAGTTTGTCTAATTTTTTGCATAAGATTTGCATAAGAAACATTCAGGTATCCAATTCCCATGACATAAAACTGTTTCTGCAATTAGGTTACTACTTCCCAATTCGTGAGTAATTGCTTCATGTACAAAATGGAGAAGAAATTTGGAAATCCCCATTCCTTGCAAACTTCCAGGCCAGTTAGGATGGAAAGAAACATGGAGGCAGGGACCTGTTCATTAGCTGTGGCTTGAAGGAGGGCTGGCAGGGTCTCCATCCAGGGTGCCCTGGCCAGGCTTTATCATTACATAGAGTATCTACCAACCCATCACTGAACACACATAAAATATGGTTGTTCTTAGAGGACTTAGACAATGGGTTTTTTATTGTTGTTCGGTTTTTTCGCAGTACTGGGGCTTGAGCTCAGTCTCATGCTTGAAAGGCAGGCCCTCTACCGCTTGAGTTACTCCATCAACCTTTATTGTATTGGGTATTTTCAAGATAGTGTATTGCAAACTATTTTCCTGGGCTGGCATCAAACCTTGATCCTCCTGATCTCTGCCTCCTGAGTAGCTAGGATTACAGGCATGAAACACCACTGAGAGAACAGCTTTAATTGATTAGCACTCCCTGGCTCTCAGTCTAAAAATCTCCCACTCCCACTGCTGCCATTGGCCTTCACAGTGCAGGATGAGGCTGATCACCACGAGCTCAACTGACTTCTTTGCTTTTTGTCCCCCTCACAGAAAGGGAAAAGGGCAGGGGTAGTGTGGAAACTTTTTAAAATGCTCTCAGTTTAAGGAAGATTCCCACAGTAAGAATTACCCAGCATTAGGAAGAAACAACTTTGGCGAAGCTAGCCTACAGTTTGCCAATCAGTCTGAAAAGTATGCTTAGGACCATGTTAAAGAGTCATCATCAAAATCCCAAGCAACGCCCAGAATCCATCCATAGGCCTGGGCACAGTTCCATTGTACCTCTATAGGAATCATTGAAAAGGCTGCAGATACCTCTGCTGCTCTTGCCTTATCACATCTGTAAACCTCATTCCACTGACAATCCATATAGACCTGTACCAGATGTATCCAGCTGTATTCTGGCTACACCCCTTACTTAGCTGGATGACCCTGGCCATGTTACTTAGTTTCTCTGAGCCTCAGTTTCCTCCTCCTTGACATGGGAATTCCATTTATAAGGACTGAATATAATAATAACTGCAGCACCCAACTAGGCACATAATGCATCTCCTCTTTGCAGAACCCTTCAGAGAGCCATAGAGCCAAGGATTTTCTCACGCAACAATCTAGGTCATCCCTGTCCAATAGAACGTTCCCTGATGCTCTGCCCAATATGGTAGCTGTGGTCAGTAACTGACTATTCAGTCTTAGTTAGGTGGCTAGTACAACTGAATAACTGAACTTTAAGTTAGAATAATTGAAATATCTCCATGTGGCTAGTGGCTACTTTGTTAGCACATACCCAGACAATATGCCTTAGATGAGGATCTGAACAGAGAGAAGTCAGAAGGCTGAGCAAAGGCAAATAGATACTGCCAGGAGCAAGAGAATGGGCAAAAGTGGTATGTGCTGGGCAGTCAGAAATAAGCTAGAGTGATATTAAGAGAACTCCAGTTTTGCTGAGCCCCAGAAGGTAGGGCTGGGGGACCAGAGGGAGTGGCTGCTGGAAGCTGGTAGCACTACTGTGACAGTGGGCAGTTGCAGCAGCATAAGTATTAAGGTGCTTTGCGGGTTTGGAGTTACCATTTATTTTTCAAAGACAATAGTGAACCTAAAGAAAGAAAACTCAAATAGCTCTAGCTAGAGGTTATGGACCCTGACTATGCTGGCACAAGAGAGTTGGCACATCTTGAATGAAATGATAACAGAGGGGAAGTGGAAATGAGCCCAGGGCCTTGCTTGGGGTTTCTTGGTAACCTCTTTAACATGGTCTTAAGTACACACTCACTTTGCAGACTGATTGGCAAATTGTTGGGCAGCTTCTCTAAGTTTCAGGTTATATAGTACTTTTGAACATGTGGACATCAGCAAACTCAAGATCCTTTGGCAGTCCGTGGCTCTATGTTCCAACCTACTTCACTCTTTGTACCCCTGATATTCACTCTGTGAACAGTATTGAGCAATCAAGCAACATTTGGTCAGATTAAACAATTACACATTTTTAGGGAAGAACAATGTTCAAATGTTCACTCAGGATCTTGGCTGGGTGAGACTCTTCCTCTTCTCCCTACCTGTGAGAGGGTGTTTTTCTTTGACATTTGAGCCTGTTTCTTCTGTCTCTGATGTTTTCCTCACTGCCCTTTTTGCCTCCTCACTGAAGCAAAAAGAACAGAGCCTCAGCTAATTACTCTCAGATCAAATAATACTGGTTATTGTAATCGGTCATTGTCCGAAAACACTGAGTTCTTCTTAGGCCCGAGGTTGCCTGGCACAGCTTAGTTAGCTAACTATTCCCGGAATGTCTCTATTATCTGTTTTACTTTGCAAAAGAAACTAGGGATTTGTTGAAAGCTGGTAATAAAAGTCTGTCCTGGTCTGAGCCGAGACTGCCTTGAGAGGGCCTGGGAAAGCATGACCTCCATGAATCAAGTTCCCCTCCAATGGCCACTCAATGATGTTATTTGGTTTCTCTGTGTCAGAGAATAATAAACCCACTAGGTTTTCTTGCAGGCCAATACTCCCAGAGTTCTCAGGGCCCGGGGTATGGCTGAGGGGCACAAAACAACTTTAATGACCAAACTCACTGAAAGTAAAATGGTTCATAGAGAAAAACTAACACTCCTGGGGGCTGGCTCTCTCAGAGGCATCTTCCTCGGGCTCAGTAGACATCTTCCTCCATCTGGAGGCCCTGGGGGGCTGTGGCTCAGTAGATTGAGGCCTGGGGAAAATGTCTCTTCTCCAGCCCAATGTGGTGCTCACCTGTTCCAGACAATCTGAAGACTTGCAGGCTTAGGCAGCAGGAACCATTCTGGAAAGCATGCAGAGAAACATAAAAAACAAAATGACCCTCCAATCTGTTGCCAAAAATATTATTAAAAGTCTTAATGCTCCTCTTGGCTTGGGATATAAAAGAGGATACCACTTTTGGTTAGTTTTACTAATGATTTTTTTTTATTTTTGTGGTATTGGGGTTTGAACTTAGGGCCTTCACCTCGAGCCACTCTACCAGCCTTTTTTTTGTGAAGGGTTTTTTCAAATTAGGGTGTCTTGAACTATTTGCCCAGGCTGACATCGAACCTCGATCCTCATGATCTCTGCCTCTTGAGTAGCTAGTATTAAAGGCATGAGCCACTGGCTCCTGGATTACTAGTGATTCTGAAGGTCTTTTCTCATTCTAAATTTTTATGATTCAGTGGAGGGTCACTATTATGAGCTGAATTGTGTGTTCCCCAAAAATCATATGTTGACATCCTAACAATAAGTCCCTAAGAATTTGATCTTCTTTAGAAACAAGGTCAGGGTACATATAACTAGTTAAGATGAAGTTATTAGGGTGGACTCTAGTACAATTCAACTCCATCCTCCTAACAAGGAAATATTTGGATCCAGAGATAGACATATGTCAGAGAAGACAAAGTGAAGAGAGAGACACAGGGAAAAGACAGCCATCTATAAGCCATGAGAGAGTCCTGGCAAAAAAATCAAAAGAAACCTTCTCACTTTGCAGAGCTTGCGATTCATTTGGGAGAACAAAGTACACACACATGAAAAGTTGTGTAACGGATGATGGGGCAACATCTCCAGGACTCCAAAGTGGTTGGTGATGTGGCTCAAGCATCTGCCTAGCAAACGTAGGGCCCTGAGTTCAAACTCTAGTGCCACACACAAAAAAAAGGTAAAAAGCAAAGTGGGCTAATTTTATGTGCCACTTATGGTAAACAGAAGTGGATACCAGCTTGAATAATCCAAAATGTACTATCATAAAAACTAATTTTATTTGGAGTATTCTGTAACATTTATATTTGGACATATGTGTTTACACTATTTTTGGTATTGACAGTGTCAACTCAAACTAAAATCATGTTGAAAGGAAATTTTTTCATTCAAGAAATAGTCACTGACTGTCAGGTATGGTGATACGTGCCTTTAATCCCAGCATTCAGGAGGCTGAGGCAGAAATCTTCAGTTCTAGGCTAACCTGAACTTCATAGCAAGATCCTGTCTCAGAAAAACAAACAAAAACAATGCCTCTCCTCCCCAGGAAAAAAAGAAATAGTAACTGAATGTCTGTGTAAGGGCCATAAGAGAAGCTGTGGAGGACAACAGCTGATGCTGCTTAGCAAGCTCGCTCGTGCTCTCTCTCTCTCTCTCTCTCTTTCTCTCTCTGAGACAGGGCCTTACTATGTACCCTAGTCTGGATTCAAACTCTCCTGCTGCCTTAGTCTCTCAAGTGCTGGGATTACAGGAGTGTATCATGAGGCCCAGCTTAAATTCACTGCATTTCTCATACAAATGAAAGAAAGAATATCTCAACTCTTATTTAAAATGACATTTCTGACATTTGATTTTTCTTAAGCCTGAATGTAATTGTTTTTGCTCTAAAAATCACTTCTTCCAGGTTCTAAAAGAATGGAGTAAACTAAGAATTTAATCATAGTTAGGCAAAAAATCATTTTGATAATACTGCCATATTCATGCTGGTTGTGCACAGAAAGATCTAGAAGAGTATTTGCTAGATAGTAGCTGTGATTAGAGGGGCTTAACTTTTGTACTTCTATGCCCGTTTTCTCAAAACAACTTTTTTTTTGGCAGTAATGGGGATTGAACCCTGGACTTCCCAATGCTAGGCAATCCCTCTACCTCTTAAGCAATGCCCCCAGCTCAAAAGCAGCTTTTAATAAAAAGCATATACAGTTGGCCTTCTGTATCTGCAGGTTCTCTTATCCACGTTCTCCACCCAAGAATTCAACCAATCATGAATTGAAAAAATTTTTTTTTAATTACTGGGGCAATTGTTGTAAACACTTACAGACTTTTTCCCTTGTCGTTGTCTAAACAAAGTACTATAACTATTCACACAGTATTCATTTTGTATTAGGTACTGAAAGTCACATAGAGATCACTGAAAGTATAAGGGGTGTGTGTGCAGAGGTCGTGTCACACATGACCCCCTTTTATACAAGGTGCTTGAACATCTGCAGATTTCGGTATCTGAGGGGTCTTAGAACCAATTTCCTGTGGATGCTGAGAGATGACACTGTGATTTTGTAATTTCAAAGTAATTCAGAATGGCAAAGTACACTATTGTATGCCCATATGGAAATGTTAGGACGAAACCCTTTACTATGTACAGCAATAAAACATGTTTTTTACAAAATTCAGTTATAACTTTGAATTCCTAGTACTAAGAACTGAAAGGTGAGAGGAATGATCAAAGGAAGTGGTTTGAGCTGAATTCCAAGGTCAGATGCAATCCAATGTGGTCACTTTGCTGGCAGTTTACGATCCCAGGTGGGCACTGAGGGAAGAAGACAAGAAGAGCATCTGGCATTTGTTTAGTGTGTTTACCTACAAGCCACTTTCTGTTGCCTATTTACAGTTCTTCCTTGGCCAAACAAATAAAAGTATTTCTTCATTCAGCCCCAACCCCATCCCCAACCAACATCATGAAATCCATTCCAATCTCCTCCAAATGGCTTCCATTGTCTGTTTTCCCTTCTTAGAGCTCTGTTTTGGACTCAGCACTGCTACCCTATTTCTAGCTTTAGTGTTCGTGTTGGGAGTATGCTGAATTAGGCTGAATACGCCTGCTGTTTCAGTTTTGCTAAGATGTTAAGCAAGATACTTTAGCCATGACGACCCTGCATTTCCTTAACCAAGCTGCAGGTCATATTCGCCTTGCACGGACACTGAAGCAATTCAGTGAGATGATGTCTGTACAGTGCCTGCTTTGGAGCACTAGACAAAACAAATCCCATTTGCCTTTCCCTCCTCAGTCTCTTTCTTTGAAAAGTGGTGGGTAAACAATATGTGGCAAGCACTTGCACCTTGGATCCAGATTGGCTAAGCCACCTACCAGTATGTGACTGAAGCTATGGGTTAACCTCCTTGGGCCTCAGTTTTACCATCTGCAGAAAGGGGATAGTTACAGCATCTACTGCACAGGGTCATGAGAAATGGGCAGCAAGTGCAACGGGAGACATTGCCCACTTTCTTTTTTCTGCTTCGTTCTCTTGTCTGATGTGCCTTGCTTCTCTTGCTCCTCTCGCTCCTCTCAGGTATTTCTGCTTTATTGTTCTCCTTGGAAACTTTCTATAATTGTTTCCTTCTACCATAATTCTAACTTGTTCTAAATTCCAGTTCTAATAGGCTTGGCTTGATTTCTTTTGAGTCCTCAGTGTGAGTCACAGATGGGTTAGGCTCATGAGCACAAAGCCAGGCTCAAATCTTTTTGTTATTTAGGAGCTCTGGGACTTTGGGGAAAATTGCTTAACCTCTCTTATTAAGTAACTGAAAAAGTTTCCAAATCTTGAAAATGGGAGTCATTTTCCAGTTGCTGGAAGGATCAGATAAGATTAAACACTTGGCATGTTGTAGGGGCTCCAAAATACTAGTCCCGTTCCCTTATCTTCTCTTCCGTTTGCTCTTACCCCCTGTTTTGGAGAGGTAGCATGGTTCCCAAGCAGAGCTGCCCATGAGCTCACCTGCAGAGTTTTAAAAAGAAGGTTGCCCTGGCTCCACCCCCCAGAGAGTCTGATTTAACTGGTCTGGGAGGGCTGTTGTTACATTATTAATGGCCTCCAGATGGCTAAGACAGAGGACTGCTTGGCTAGCCAAGAGGGCAGGGTCTAGCACTCAACAGCAACTCGACCTGCTTCCTTTGTGACAACTCAAGTGAGGCTATTGTAAGAATTCCATTCATAAATACATATATATCTATAAATTGCAGAACAGAGTGTCTGAATCACACTCAGTATGTTGCTCTAGGATGTGAAAAAGGAGACAAGGGAGAAATCAGCTCTCATAAATACTATCCAAAAAGATTGGGTAGAACCCCAGAACCCCAGGAGTGACATTTTTAACGGGAGGTCCAGGCATCTCAGCTACATTTGCTCAGACAGAGCTATTGATGTGACCAGGGCCAGTCGGGTGCTGTTAGGAAGCTGAGCCAAAACCCAAAGCTGAATTTGCGGCCCACCCTCCCAGTCTCGTGCAGACAACCAGCCGCTGAATGACCTTGCCTCTCGTCCATTGATTTTTCCCAGTAGTTAGGCTGCGAGCAATCAATGACAGAGTGATCCACAGACAGGCATTTTACACAGCACTGTTTCAAGGGGGAGTCTGTTTCTCTAGCTTCAATAGCCCCCAAAAATAATGGGTCTGGAGGTAGCTTGTTTCCCTTCTCCTTCCAAAGATGATAGTAAATCATTAGGCCAGATTTTCCTCCATCTCCTCCCTCTGCTGTTCTCTTTAAAAGAGTTCTCATTTGTGCAGGAAAAGCAAAGCGAGCAGAAGAAAGAAACTAAAAAAGCAACACATTTAAATTTCCAGACTAAATGGAGTAAAGTTAAAATGAGGGCAGAACTCTTGCTGCCACAGTAAAAGATAGTCCATTTTTCATGAACATTTAAGAAACCTCAAATATGGGAATCTTAGTCAATAGAGATTTGTTGGTTGATTGATTGATAAAACATCACCTGGTCCTTCTGAGTCTCAGCTCAGGGCAAAACATTTTCTAGTTACTATGGTCTTGCCGCAACTGCCCTAAGGTTATCTTATAACGTGGTCTACTGAAGTTCACCTCTGGAACTTCCTGAACACAACGCATTCTTGAGATACCCTATATTTATATAGTTGATAATGTTGCTAGCCTTATTTTGCTATCTAAAGCAGTAACTTTAAAAGCACACTGCAAAACTCTGTAGCTCTTTTCCTCCTACCTGTGCCTCACCCCCATCCCAGCCTCCCCTCCTGTCCTCACAGCTGCTGGCTTCACTCTCCCTCATAAGCTGGAGTTGGCTGGGAGCT